ACACTTCCGCCACCTCTTCCCTGCCCCTGCCCCTGCCCCTGCCCTAGCCGATGTCCGTGCCGCCTACTTCCCTGAGAGAAGACAAGCCAACAGAATCGATCTCACATGCCCATTCCATCGCATCTGTGAGCACCAGCTGTACTCTGCTTTTACGCCTGGCTTAGGAACTGAATTGTATTTCCAAATGAATGTTGAGGTTCTGCGCTCTGCGTCTAAGGAATGGCTCCAGTCCTCAGTGACTCCTCTCTTCCTTGTACCTTTAGGGTCTCCCTCTCTCCTGAAGAATCTCATCAGCAGACAAATGTGGTATAATCTCATGCTTTTAAAAACAACGCAATCTCTTAACCCTGTAATTGCTAATTCCCTGCCAAAGTCTACACTTCCTCACCGCCCCTTTGCAGCAGAAGTGGATCAGACATTGAAAAGTATTTTTAAGAGATATTTTTGCTGTAATACACATGCACTCACCAGAGACATAGAGACAGAGATACAGAAAGCAAGGAATGACCCTCCATGGGGGATGGCCACACCACACTCCCTTCTCCATTGTCCTCTTGGGATTTTGGGCACACACGCAAACTTACCTGGCATGAGTTTTAAGCTGCCGGGTCCAGGATTCAAACCATAGTTCACTGTATGGGAGTCCAGCAATGTAACCATTACTCTATTTGCTGGTCCCAGTATTTGAGTTTTATTTGCATATTTTAAGAAGTACAGGGCCAGCCCATAGCATAATGGTTAAGGGCACTAGATCCCACATGGCTGATCACATAGTTCAAGTCCCAGACCTGGTGATTTGAAATACACACCAGGCACACGTGTGCATGCCCAAAATTCCAAAGGAGGGAGAAATGGAGGAGAATGGATTGCAGTGTGACCATTCCCTATGGGGCAGGAGGGCATTCTAGTCCCCCACCCCATTTCCCTAATGTGTATATATCCTCTGGCTTAAAAACTATATATGGTAGTTTAAAATTGAAGTAGATCATCCAAACTGATAAGAAATAAACTTTTTTTTTCCCCCTTGGTATTTTCCTATTATCTGCAGAAACTGAGGGTTGAGAGGCCAGGGTTCTGTCATTTCAGTTCTTCTAATCAGGAACAAAGATCAGACACACCTGCTGGTAAGTATCTTGTGCTTTGTAAGAATATGAGTTAAGGAGGTTAGTGCCTTAAAGCGTAATAAGATCCCAGGGTGTGGTACTTAAACAGATGCTTCTGGGTTATCTTTGGGATCTAGAAGCTTGTTGAATTGGGGGTTTTATTTGGGATTAGCACCTTAAACATTTTGGCTGTATAAATTTTGTGCAGTGTAACTTAATTCTCAATCATTGATTTTTGACTTTTTGTTCAAGGGTCTTAAAAACCTCTTTTTCTCATGGCCATAGTTATAGTTTTGATTTGACAGTGTCTTTTGGGAGGTGAGAAACTGTAGACGCTAGTGACAGGAAATTACAAATAGTGCCTGTAGAACTTCAGTTAACATTTTCTGGCCTAAAAACAAAATAAAACATGCTTGTTTAGCCTTTTGCCTTTACGAATCTCTTTCCTGAGCTAGCCCTGTAACCTGGTGGTTAAGGGTGCTGGATGCCACATGGCCAGCCACAGTTCAAACCTCAGCCCCAGTGACTTGAGACTCGCTGGGCATGGGTACATGCTTGTCCAAAATCCCAACAAGGGGAAGAGATAGAGAAGGGATTGCAATGACCATACCCCACTGGGGTTACTTTCTCCCTCTCTTTTTCTCTGTCTTTGGCAACTGTATGTATGTTTAGCCCTCGGACTAAGATTAAAAAAAAAAGACTATCTCCTAAACACGATCCATGTAGTTCTGATTTAATGAGAAACCTTCAGTAGGATAGAATCAGTTAATTGAGGCATCGCTCTATAATAAAATGATAGAATTTCTGTATTTCTTGTGTTTTAACTATTCCAGGTGACTACCCATCTGGGGTGAAACTTGCTGGCCAGAGTGGCGGCGTCCGGGGGCGAGGGATCACACGCTTACTTGAGAGCATCTCCAGCTCCTCCAGCAGAGGCCACAGGCTCTCCAGCTGCGAGGCCCCTCCCTCTCCTTACGTGGCACAGAAGGATGGGTATAAATCCTTCTCTTCCTTATCCTAATGACGGCACTTCCTCAGTTTCTGGGAAGATAACATGCCCACCTTCCCTTCTGACTACAGCCATATTAAAAGCACATCAATGATAAATGTCACTAACGTGGAAACTCCTTCATTTGTAAGGAAATCCTGTTTCATAGAGTAAAAATAATTGTGGTTGGCGAAGATCGTGACATTTTGTTTTTTTATTTTCCTTGAGTGATTTTTCTACTTCCTGACTGTATGATGGGTATGGCATTAAAGTTTTGAATATTTTAAGGACAAAACAGACATTTTCAGAGTTGTGCTTTTGGGAGTGTTATGAATTAATAATTTCCCCTGTAATTAAAGTCGTTAGTATCTGTTATGAAAGGTTATAAACCTGCACTAATGTGCTTATTTCCATTATGAAACAAGAGCCTTCATACACTAGAGATCTTTAGGCTTTTAACTAAGAAAACTAGCTTTTAGCAAAAATTCAGTTTTCTGCTGAAAAATACTTTGACATAAGCTTACTTTGGCAAAAGGAGTCATTTGAAGGATGAGAAGCCGAAGTGAACAGATGATGGAATTTACCGAAATCATATTGTCGGTAGTGATTGCCGGTCAAACCATTGGGCCACAGAGCTCTGCGTGTACTGAGTCAGCAGCAGACTGAGTCAGCATTCGTCCTGGCTCTGCCTTCATCTGGCTCGTGCTTTCTTCCTGGGAAGTTGTATGACTCCGGAGGGTGAGAACAGGTGCAGCAGCCCCCTGCCATGGAAGCATAGCTGGGACTGCGATAGCAGTGGTGGGGACAGCGTTCCAGTCTGGGCCTCTCCCTTCAGAGACCATGGTCCGAGCACACCACGCTGTCCTCCGTCTCCCTTTCATCTAGTTCCGGTACCAGACTTTGGACAGGAAACTACTCATAGACTGCACGTTTGTATATTGTGTTTTCTAACAGCAGACTTCTCTTTTTTCTTTTTAAATTTGCTACAGGGCACATGCACTCACCCAAGAGAGGGAGAGAGAGAGAAGTGAGAAGGCACCCTCCCACCCCAGGAGGTGGCTGTACTGTGAACTCTTCGTCACTCTCCATTCTCGGGATTTCGGGCACTCATGCTTGGCCTGTTTTTCAAACTACCGGGTCTAAGATTTGAACCACATGGTCGGCTATGTGGGATCCAGCCACCTCAACCACCATGTTACTGGCTTGCCCTCTAATAGAAGATTTTCCTAAACCTCAGATCTAGTCTTTCTGAGCTATTCTAGTTTTCCTAAAAATCAGCATAATTGTATAGACTAAAGAGGAGGGAAGATCTAAAATTGTAATTCAGACTCATGACTGGATATTTAAGGTCCTGTTCTGTGTTACCTGAATTTAATCTTGTGTTAATTGTTGATGTTTTTTAAAATTTTTAGTAATACTGTTGGTTATATTTCTAAGCTATATGTCAACCTTAAAGCAATTCAGTAGGCCCCAGGGATTTATTTTCAGAAAGAGTATGCAGATCCACTGTTAATCATAGCTGAGGTTAGTAGATGTTGCTAATTTACGGGCAGAACGACTAGAGACAGATTATACGGCTGGCAAACTACACTGCTTTACAATTGAGGAGCCATTTTTATCCTATCTCGTGTGATCTCTGTTACCTACACGTCACAGAAGCACTCAAGGGCAAGACACTAATGAGACTGAATTGGAACCAGACGCCAGCTCTTCTTCCTAGCTGAAAGCTGACTCTGCTGGGCCAGAGCACGTGAGGCCAGATAGGCTGACAGGCCTCCCGTTTGCATTCTGGCTGACTCCGGTGCTCAGAGGAATTCTCTCACTGTGGAGTAACTAAGGTGCACAGAACATGCTCAGAGGCCTCACTGTTCACACAGGAGGGAGCCAAGGCCTCCTTCCTACCAAGAAAAACGTAAAATTAACGTACTGGGGCCAGCAGGTGGCATGGCAGTTAAAGGCGCTGGACTCCTACATGGCCAAACATGTTCAAGTCCTGGACCTGGCAGCAGCTCCCTTCCTCCCTCCCTCCCTCCCTCCCTCTCCCTTTTCTCCCCTCCCTCCCCTCCCTCCCTTCCTCTATGGTAAAATTAAAATAAAGTTAAATAAAATAATTCTTTTACGAATTAATTTGGTACTGAAATGTGAAGTTCCCTGAAGGTAGGTCAGTTACTTAGAAATACGTGAGGTGGGAACAGATTTGTCGTGTTTTTCTTTTAATGCAGAAGAGCATGTATGTACACTAGCAAGAAGACACATCCCCACGCCACCATCAACAGGTCTTGATCCTGCGGAAATCCTGTTTCTTCCTTTTCTCCATCCTGCCAGGATCCTGGGCACACACACCCATCAGGGCTGGGATTTGAACACGGTCGCCCATGTGGGAGCCCACTCCCTAGCACAGGGCCTAACTATTTGCACAGTGGGGTGGGCCTGGAGCTTCACTGCAGATGGGCATGACAGCTCTTTGTGGGAGGAAGTGTTAAGCTGTGGTGATGGTTACACAAATCTAAATATAATGAAAGTCATTGAATTACTGCAAATAGTGGATTTCAGATTAAACAATGACAGAAAAAGCTCAGCATGCAGTCAGGGAGATCAGGTGGAAGTTACCCACGAGGACGAGGACAGGAGTGCTTCTGTCAAACGCTGTTCTGGTCAAGTAAGAGGAGGGCCAGGAACTCACCAATGAGGGCAGTTGCTGTGGAGTGATGGGAAATCCTGACGACTTCATCGACCACAGGAGGTGCAGACAGCATCTTGGAGGAGTTTCGCTCCCAGAACAACAGTGATGACAGTGTGGGCAGTGGCCAGTGAGGGAATGAGGTTATGATTGCATCCTACTGGACGCGGTCCCTGAGGGTATGTGTGTGCAGGGCCTGGAGCAGCACCTGCGATCCAGGGTAAGGAAGGAGAAGGGTTTGAGGGTTGCGGCTAGGGGAGAAGATGAGATCATCGCCCAGAACAGGAGAGGGAGCCGACTGGATGGGTAGCACGGCAGCCTGGCAGTATTAAGGGTGCACCTGGCATAAGTGGCCAAGAGTGTAAGGTGAGGCCAGTCAGTGTGTGAGCATTTTTTTCTCCAGCCACGTAGGTACATAGGTGCAGGTCAACATTTAACACCTACTCATGGTAAAAACTCCTGAGCCATCTAATTCTATCAGAAAAATATTTGAAACTTCCTTAACCTGATGAAAGGCATCTTCAAAAATTCTATAGCAAATATTCTTAGTTCTTGTCCTTAAACTTTAAGGACAAGACCCCAAACTGCCTGGCATTGCTGCTGCTGTTCAGCATTGTACTGGAGTTTCGGTATATTGTATGTAGTAAGCATACAACATAATGAAAACTAATGCATGATATTTGGAAAGAAATGATTGTCATTCACAGATATACTTGTCTACATCCAAGAAAACTAGATTCCAAAGAATCTACAGTTATTGATGAGAAATAGCTCGATTAGAAATAGTTCCCTATCAGTTCAGTATAAAAACTTGAATGCATTTCTATATGTCAGCAACAGTTTAACTGAAAACAATTTTTTAAAGAGAGTTTATAATAGCAAAACCTTGATAGTTCTTAAGGGTAAATCTGACGAAAGTACAAAGCATGTCAACATTATAAAACTAGGGCAGCAGCAGATAGTGCAATGGCTATGTCACTGGACTCTCATGTAGGCGACCGCAATTCAAGTCCCAGACCCTGTGGCTTAAACCTACACTGGGCGCATGTGTTTGCGCTCAGGATCCTGAGAGGAGGATGGAGAAGGGATTGTGGCGTGGCCATCCCCCTTGGAGGGGTGATTTCTCGCTTTCTGTCTCTATCTTTCTGGCGAGGGCACGTGCCTTACAGCAAAAACTTCTCCCCCTGCCCCCCCCAAAATGATAAAACTAGTGAAAACCATTAATAAAGACCTGAATTAGTAGAGATTCCTGTTTATGGATAGACTCCTTATTACAAAGATTGTCGTTCCCCTTGGACTGACCTGTAAATTCAATTCAATTGCAGTCAACATGCTGACCTTGTTTTCAAGGGACTTCACAGAAGAGGAGCATGGTGACAGTGGAGGGTGCCCACCAGTCTCCAACTGACTATGACAACCAAGATTGTGAGGAGCCAAGGTAAGGACAGGCAGGCCCACCAATAGAGCAGATGCAAAGGCCCATACCACTATGGAAATGTACCTGACAGGTGCCATTTCAGAATAATAGGACTAGACAGAAAGTTGTCCAGCAATAACGGGTAAATGCAAAAGGTAAAAATTGAAATTGGGCCCCATTCCCACCCTGGTCACAACAAAGAATTCTTAGATTTGAAGATTTAAATGTGAAATGGAACATTTTAAGTCGTTTAATAAAAAGAATGACATCTTTGACATAGAGATCTTAAGGACTTTTAAACATAATACAGAAATGGTTCACCCTAGGGTGATAACCAAGAGGGCCATGATGTGACTGCAGGGTATACAGCGTGGGTACACTGGGGAAGGGATGGTTCACGTCCAGGCAGGACACTGGGGTGGCATGAGGTTTTGTTATGCTAGTCAGAGCACAACGGTTAAAAAACAAACAAAATGGACCATGGGCCAGCAGGTGGCATGGTGGTTAAGGCACAGGATTCCCACATGGCTGATTGTGATTCTAGTCATGGACCCTGCACTTGAAAAAAACACTGTGTGTGTGTGTGTGTGTGTGTGTGTGCGCACACACGCATGTGCATGCCCAAAATCCTGAGAGGAGACTGAAGGAGAAGGGACTGCAGCGTGCTACCTGACAGGTGCCATTTCAGAATAATAGGACTAGACAGAAAGTTGTCCAGCAATAACGGGTAAATGCAAAAGGTAAAAATTGAAATTGGGCCCCATTCCCACCCTGGTCACAACAAAGAATTCTTAGATTTGAAGATTTAAATGTGAAATGGAACATTTTAAGTCGTTTAATAAAAAGAATGACATCTTTGACATAGAGATCTTAAGGACTTTTAAACATAATACAGAAATGGTTCACCCTAGGGTGATAACCAAGAGGGCCATGATGTGACTGCAGGGTATACAGCGTGGGTACACTGGGGAAGGGATGGTTCACGTCCAGGCAGGACACTGGGGTGGCATGAGGTTTTGTTATGCTAGTCAGAGCACAACGGTTAAAAAACAAACAAAATGGACCATGGGCCAGCAGGTGGCATGGTGGTTAAGGCACAGGATTCCCACATGGCTGATTGTGATTCTAGTCATGGACCCTGCACTTGAAAAAAACACTGTGTGTGTGTGTGTGTGTGTGTGTGTGCGCACACA